CAGTGTGTCAGCTCACCCCTGTCATCCTAGCAACCAGGATCCAGCTGAGGCAAGAGGAATGCCACAAGTTTAAGGCCTTCCTGGCTAGAGTGTGAGACCCTGTCTCAAAAGAATGAAACAGAAAAGAAAGAAAAAAGAAGAGACAGTGGCTACAAGGGGGCACTCACTTCAGCCCAGACATAGGCAAAATCTGTGGTTCATCACTCCAGGACTGGGAAGACTCAGGAGGAAAGGAGGGAAGGGCTAGCTGGGGCCAGGCCTGGGAGAGAAAGGCCCTCTGAGGACAGGTAAGCCCAGCAACCTGTCTCTTCTCCCAAGACTCAACAAGCTTCCACAAAGGGTCACCAGCACCAGCCTAAGCAAAGGGGGGGGGGGCAGAACTGCCACCATGTCTGACACCCTTCCTCATAGGGGACTCCCAAGATGCAGCATTTGAGTGGGGACACCTCACAATCCTGACTGATAGTTTTAGTTTGAGGATCTTCCTACACAGTCTTCCCTTCTCTGTCCCTTCCCAGGGCACCTCAGCACTGTGACTGAAGGCTCAGCCTCTTGCTCCGGCACCTGCCATCCATCACAGGTTTCCCTGGTGTTGCTCTTCCCTGTACTTCGTGGAAGACCCACACTGACAGCATCATACTGGAGTTTGGTCTTTGTATAATCAACACAGTGAAGGGAAGAGAACAGAAATGCCACCGTTCAGTTAGTTCATTGCTGGAGAAGCTGTTCCCTGAGGGCATACCTTATTCCTCTTGAGGTCTGCACAGGAAACTGTACGAAGTGCAACCTAGAAAAAGCAAATCATCACCCCAGCAATACTTAACCTTAGTTTTCCAGATGATTTTGACAGCTGTAGTGCCAAATACTCCAAGACTAGGTTCCTAAATGAAGCAATTCTCCAAATGAGAATAGGCAATGAGAGGCTCAGGAAATGGGCGTGCCATGTATTCAACATGAACCGGTACCTGGAGGAGGACAGGTGTGAGGGGGGAGTCTCACAACAGGCGCAACTCCTGCTGCTGCTTTGTCCTCTGATCCCGTCAACCCACCAGTCTCTGGTCAGATCAGATATAAAACATGACAAAACAGCAACAACAAAAAATGCCTGGCAAGCGAGGACATTTTCAACATTCATGGTAAGAAACGGTCTAAAGCCCCCTAGTCCTCCCTGCACAGGGAAAACCCACTGCAGGAGCAACATTGCAACTCTTCGTCTTCAACAGTCACCCTCGGCCTCTGTATGACACTAAGTGGTAATAACAATGCTCCAAGAAACAGACCCAGGCTGTGCGGCATAGTTTACAAAATCCTGGGGCTCCAATGCTCCCCATCTCCCAAGTTTCTACTCAGCAGCTGCCAAATGGCTGCCAAGGCAGGAAGGCGCCCTTGCCTCACCTCCCTTGGGTTTCTGCAGACTAGGCATCAGGAAAAGCACGTGTGCCACTCAACTACATAATGGGAAAGAGGTCTTAGTGGGTTCACAGCTCTGTGACCTCGGCCTGTCAAAGGCAACCTCTGAGCCCTTTTATAATCTTTCTAAAGACTTAAATGTGTGAGTACACAAAGAACCCTTAATGGAAGGTCACTCTGGCTTGTATAAAAAGCTGTGTAAACTTCATCTCTGCATTTACTTAGTACCAGCCTTGTTTAATTTCCTGCCCAGGGATGTGCAGGGAACGTGATTGCTCTCTCAGGGCTCTGAACATCTTTCAGAAAATAAACTGCCCTCCCCATCTCAATACCAAAGGACACCCCCAAAGAGCAATATACCTTCTCTAACCTTGTCCAGGGAAGAGGTAGCTTGACAGCATGATCCTTTTTAGAATAAGCAAAGAAGACTAAGTGGACAAGCCCAGGCTACAAAGTTGGAGGCTCCCTTACAGCACAACCCAGCTGTGTGACCTTGGCAGGTGAACTTCTCCTAGGTTCTGGCTTCCTCCTGGGGTAAACAGACATGACAGCTCTATCCCAGGTTGCAGTGTGGGAAAAGATGACCCTGAAGTTCATGCCCTGGGCTCAGCTTGGGCTTAGAGGGCAGGAAGAGTAGCTACCAGAACTGCTCTCCTATGAAAGGTGACTCGAGATAGAGGCCAAGTGTGTAGACTCCCAGTCTGGTCAACCAGGTTCAAACCCCAGCTCCTCCATCCCCAGCACCAAGAGGAGAAGCAGCTGGGAAGGAATGAGTGGTGTCAAGGACCTCAGGCTCAGAGATTATTTTTGTCCCCACCTTGTGATCCTGTGGTACTTCAGGGACCCCTGTCTACATCAGACCCTCAACATATGGACCCATGATCCATAGTCATTTTCCAGAAACACAGCATGTTTCTGGGGCAGGAAAGAAATTGTCTGCCATCAAGCCCCTTGCCTAGGCTCTTACCTAGTCAGGTTGGAGTTCAGTGGAAGTGGGGACAGTAGGTAGGCCTTGTTACTTTCCATACAGACCTAAGGAGGAAATTCCAGGCAAAGCCAAAAACTGAGCTACCCAAGTCTTTTATTCAAGCCATACAAAGACCCAGGGTCAAACCTGCATCCAGCCTGCATGCTGATCCCCAAGTGCAAGTGAGGCCCATTGTGGCTTCATATGTCTGTAGGATCCTGCTTGCCCAGTGAAGGACTCCATAAAATAGGTCAGATCTTCAGAGAAAGGGACTCATGCCACTGTTGATGCTGCATCAGTTATGTGACAATGTCCTGTGCTAACAAGGATAAGCTCTGGCACCTCTCATGGCCAGCTTTCCCATCTGAAAAGAGAGTTGTTGGTCTAAGCAGTGGAAGTGTAGGCCCCAGGGTGCTGTGCACTTTGAGCATGTAGACAACTCCCCAGGACCAAGGCAGGCACTGTCTGGGTGTGACTGAGCACATGGGGGTAGTGCTATGGTGCCCACTTTTCTATATTGCGCCCTCCTGGCCCAGGGGTCTCCCCAGAAGCCCCTCCATGGGACTGAGGGGAAAACACTGTGAAGGGCCTTAGACTACTTCAGGAACCATCAGTCTGTACTCAGGACCACCATTCCAAGGTCAGACAAAGAGCTTGCAGAGGCATTTTCTACTGCACTGTTCAGTCGCTTGTGAGGCTGAGCTCTGGCCTGGCACAGCTTGCTCGCCCTTGTTAGACCTCGGTACGGTGGAGAGCAGACTACCTTATCTTCCCACTGGCTCATTCAGCTCATGTCCCAAGTTCTCCCAAGGTCTGCACCAGAAGAAAAGGGCAGAGAGATACAGACATGACTTTGGCTGATTCCCTAAGGGTCTCCCACAGACAACAGAGCTGACGTTAGGGCAAAGAGTAAGACATCTAGAGGGTGAAACAGAATGAAGCACCTGCCTTTGCAGGGCCTGAGAACCAGCATCTACTTCAGCCCTATGACCTCTTGCTGCCCCTGGTCCTGTGAGCAGTGACGTCAGGGGCAGTGCATGTGTGTTGACTGTGGCAGCTTGGTGTTGGAAAGCTTCTTGCATGAAGTGGGGAGTTTCCATATACCCTACAGTCCCACTGACTGCCCACTTCTGTTCTGGCCACCAAGGCCTTCCAGAAGAAAGGTTGCCAGTCTGAGTAGCCTAAGGCCAGCGAATGCGCTCCTCTTGCTGCATCCTGAAAGTGAGAACAGGGAAAGCAAGGGTTGCTGGTCCAAGAACAGCCTGAGTACCCACAGGCTCAGTGTAACTCTTCCCCAGCCCTCTGCCTTTGCCCAGGTGTGCTCTTCTGAGGTACCCAGCAGCTGGCAGCCAGCCACTGGGGCTCTATACAAATTGGCCTCATCTGTTGGGGAAGCTGGAGCGCATAAAGAGTGAAAAAGGCAGGTGTGGATGCTTTGCAGAGCCCAGTGTGTGACGCTGCCCCCTCAATTCAGTGGTATGCTGGATGGTCTATGGGTCTAGTCATAAGTCTTTAAATGTCTTTGTCCCTCAACAATCTCTCTCTCTCTCTCTCTCTCTCTCTCTCTCTCTCTCTCTCTGAAAAGGCATACTGAAACTGACTGCAGAGTTGGAGTCCCCTTGCTGACAACCCAGCTGTGTGACCTTGGCAAGTGACACCCCTCCTGGGTTCTGGCTTCCTCCTGGGGCAAACGAGACATGCCAACGCTATCACAGGCGGCAGTGTGGGAAAAAATGACCCTGAAGCTCAAGCCCTGTGCTCAACTCAGGCTTTGAGGGCAGGAATAGAATAGTATCTACCAGAACTGCTCTCCTGTGACAGGCGACTCAGAGGTCAAGTGCGCAGACTACCGGCCTGTGCAGCCAGGTTCAAACCCCAACCTCTTCATTCCCAGCAAGGAAAAAGAAGCAGCTGGGCGGGCGGTGGGGTCGGGGAGACTACACTCACCCTACCCTGGCTTTCTTACCCTCTCTCCTCTCCCTTTCCCCCTCTTCAGATCCTCTGCTGGTGAGTGATGAGAGGCTGAGCCTGGCAGTCACAGGGTGTCCCTGTCCTCTCTAGTCCTCATTGGTTCGCATTCCCTCCTGGGGGCAGCGCTGCCAATCCCCGCCTCCTGCCCCGGACCAAACGCGCTCAGAGCTGTCTCCAGCTCAGACCAGAGCGCAGCGGTGGGAGCGAACGAGGACCTGTTCTCCACACTCTGGGCGTCTGGACACGGACCAAGCTGCAGGACCCTCTCCAAGAAGGAGCACCCCGGACTGGGAGAACCCCTCGCTCGATGCACCCGGCGTCCAGCGCTGAGCCTCGGCCAGCTGCGGCTGTACTCACCCGCACCCCTCGTAGCGGCAGCAGCGAAGGGGTGCTCCGGAGCTCACCGAGTGGAGGGGCAGCAGGAAAACCGTGAGGCCCGCCCGGGGCTCTGGGCTCTGCCCTGGTAACAAGGACTGCTGAGCATCCTGCGACAGGTGGACGCCCCCAGGCTCCCCGCGGCCCGCCCGCGCCGGGCACCTACTCTGAGCAAGTGCGCGCAGCGGCGGGAGGGGAGCGCCATGGAGGCGCTGGGCAGAGGTCTGCAGAAGGCGAAGTGAGGCGGTCTGGCCAGGGTCGGCGGGACCCGCGGACCATGTACGGAGACGTGTTCAACGCCACCGGCGGCCCCGAGGCGGCGGGAGGCGGCGCGCTGGCCCCGGGAGCCACGGTCAAGGCGGAGGGCGCGTTGCCGCTGGAGCTGGCCACCGCGCGCGGGATGCGGGACGGCGCGGCCACCAAACCCGACCTGCCCACCTACCTGCTGCTCTTCTTCCTGCTGCTGCTCTCCGTGGCGCTCGTCGTCCTCTTCATCGGCTGCCAGCTGCGCCACTCGGCCTTCGCTGCGCTGCCCCACGACCGCTCGCTGCGGGACGCCCGCGCGCCCTGGAAGACGCGGCCGGTGTAGGGTGGACCGGAATCAGTGCCGCCGGGAGATTCCAGCAGGGCAGGGCGGGCTCCGCAGTCGCTGGCCGTTGAGACACATCGCTTTGATCCAAAGACCCCTTCCGACCTAGAGAGTAAGGGTGGGATGGGCGGCATTAGCAGGTTGCATGGGGTGCTGATTCCAGTGCCCCAAGTATTCTCCCTGGTCAGCGGGTCCTGCCAGTGAGCCATCCTGCAAGGCCCACCCACCGGGCGCAGGAGCCTGGTCTGCCGGGCTGACTTCCTTACTTTGCTGGCAGAAGGGGCAATAGACACCGCGAGCACCAGGAACTGCCTTTTGGGGCTGCTATGGCCCTATGGCTGTCTCCTGGAGGCCGCCACCGCTCCTTGACATTGGGGACTCAATAGGGGAATGACACAAGGTCTCCGCGCGTGTCCCGCCCTAGTCCAAGAACCCAGGCCCCTCTGCAGGCAGGGGTCGAGTGCGGTGGAGGGGCGCATAGCCTCACGGCGCGCCTTTGTGGATCTGCATCTCACACCTCCAGGGACTACATTTCTACAATAAAAACTCCCCAGATTAGATACACCGCTGTGGTCACTGGTTGCGCCGCTTTGGAAAGTGGGATATGGGCAAGTCCATCCCCAGAAGAAACCCAAGCCAGATCCACCTCCCCTGTGCTGTGGTGATCCAGGTCAGTCTGAGGATGCTCCCTCCTTTCTAGCTTCCCCTAGGGTCAGTTACTTGTTCTGGAAAATTGTTTTGTTTTTTTGTTTTGTTTTGTTTTCTGGCAGACTCGAGGGAAAACTGACACCTGACCTGCTGAATAGATTCCTGTTTAAAGGACCCCGTGGAGACTCTCCCAGCAGGGCAGATCCTTCCACTCATGTCCTCCTTTGCTCTCAGAGCTTCCCCTGGCCTGAAACCATCCAGAGTTGCCTTGAACCGAACCAGAGCTTGGTGGAGGTAGGTTCTGAAAGGGTGGAGGCAGCACTTGATACCAGGCAAGTCCCACGGAGTAGTAAGCTAGGGGAAAGATGTCAAAAGAGGTGGGATGGAGAGGTAAAGAAGTCTGTGATGACCTTCACCATTTTAAAGCTAACCCAATTCAGGGAGTTTGAGTTGTTTTTTGATGGAGGTGTAAAGCATTTCCAGGAGTCACTTGGCTTAAAGAAGTTCACTTCATTAGAGCTTAGAAAAATTTTTTCTGAAAAAAGAATTTGACAGATTATTTAATCCAGTTAATTAATTCTACACCATGTTGGGGTCTCCAGAGTTTTGTGAATCGAAGAAAGAAAAAACTTTTGCCGCTGGCCAAATGAGTACAAAAATTCTGCAGTGTTTATTAGGCATTTCAGACACCTTCCCAGCCAAGCACCAGGCTGAGAGACTAATCAGGGCTCTTCAGCTGCCATCCTAGGTAGTGGAGCCAGCAACAGGAACTAGGCTTGGTTACTCCCTGGGCTTGGTTACTCAAAACTTCCAGAACTAATACCAGCCAGGTCTAGTTACACCAGCTCTGTGATCTCTCAGAGCATTTTTGCTTAGCCTTTGAAAATATAGTCAAACTTCTACAAGCCCTCTGTAAGGGAGCCCAGCTAATCTGCATGCACCTTGGTTGCAGAGACTACATGAAAATGTTCAAACCACAGCCCCAGGCTGGCATACTAAAATCAAGCCTGCTGATCTGAAGACTGGGAGAGGTAGGGCAGGAACAGAGCAGGCCATTCCTCTGCCACAGGTCTCAGAGGCCAGCTTTGGAGGTGGTATGCAGAGTTGACAGTCAGAGTACAGCCTCTGGTACCTGGCTTTAAATCCCAGCTCCATCTCTCACAAGTCATATGACCTGTGTGACTACTTAACTGAGCCTGTTTCCTCCTCTGCAAAGTGGATATTAAATCACCTAGCTCTACTGGGCGTGGCACACTACAGCAAGCACAAAGGGAGCGCTCAAATGTGAACTGCTGTTGTAACTGCTCTATAAACTGTTATCACTGACGACAGAGCAGGTGACCCCACACAGGATGTGCTCACTAGAGCCCACTCTCTTCTATGGTCACACACAAAAGCAAGGGCTGGTTCCCTCAGGACAGCATGACTACAGCCAGAGTGACTCAGAACTACCGAGATCACTTCACAAGATGTTGTACAAGGTGCCAAGGGCTTCAAACAAAAGGTGGTAAAATGGACACAGGTTGGAACAGATCTCTCACTGGCTACAGCAGATTAATACATGCTTCTGGAATAAATTCTCAGATCACTGGGCCTACATTCTAGAAAGCAAGCTGAGTCAGTAAGAGCACTGTTTGCTAGCATGGTTACCCAAATAACTCCATTCCATTTTCTAGGGTAGTGTTGGACTAGCTGAGCAGTAACGAGTGCTTCCTCATATTGGATCCAGAGTCTCCTGGGCATCAGGAACATGGTCAACTTCATATCTGTCCTCTAACATGCAAGCAAGTAGACTACAAGGTGGTGCTTACCATCTAGATAGTATCTTGGATCCAGTGATATGCATGTTCTCCCCCAAATTCCTATGTTGAGGCCCTAACTCCCAGAAGGGCTGAGTTTGCCAGTAGGGAATTACCAGCTTCTTGAAACCATGTGTGAAGCCCCAGTTTACCCCTCTTCCCCGATAACTGAGAAAAAGGCTAAGAAAACATCCTGAGACGCTGATCATCTACTTCCCTTACCCAAAACTCAATCAGCCAGAACCTTGAACTTGGACTTCCAGAACTTGACAAAATAAATTTCTCTTGTTTAATTCACCCAATGTGTAGTACTTTGTTACAGCAGCCCAACTAATACAGATGACCATTTAGATCCTATACATACATCCGTCTTCTGCCTTTGCTATCCTAATCCCAAGATGCACTGAATCACCTTTAGAGAGTTGGGTGTGGTAGGGTAGAAATAGGAAGAACCCAAGTTGTGGGTGCTTGGGCTTCTCACTTCTCAGGTATAACTAGGGAATGCAAGCAGGCAGGAGTGTTAGTGAGAAGACATTCTGATAGGGGCAAAGGGCTGCAAGTTGCAGATTTTAAGAACCATGGAACAATACTGGTAACCAAGAGCTTGTGTTCTAGCACCAGGAGAGCTGAGTTTGATCATCCACACTATACCTTGATCACATCTGTGAGTTTCTGATGCCCAGTCCCTCAGCTGTGAAATAGAAGTAACAGTACCTACCTTGTAGGAGTTTCAACACCGAGATATTGCAGGTAAATAGCTTAGCCAATGTTTGGTATGTAGGAAGTGCAGTGACTGTGAGCTATTGCCATGGTTGGTCAGCAGGCTGGCTTTACACGTGACAGGACACAGCAACTTCTTCCGACCAGTGACTTGCAGTCCTTTTTCATTCATGTGAGACAAGATGGTAGAGGCTGCCACTTCCTAGAAGGCATGCCCAAAGCCAGCTATACTCTCATGGCATCAGGTGCCCCTCAGATGACTGTCCACATCGGAACCACTCTATACCAGCATTGGACACTCTGACAGAAAAACTCAGGTCTATAACTCATCTTTCTCACCATCACCCCTCAGCCTCAAAGCCCTACATCCCTTCATCTACTTCCATTCCCAGCCTTACACTCTAATGGCTTCTTGTTCTTATTTTAAAACAAAATCCTAAACTTGGCCTACAAGGCCCAGAATATTCTGGCCAACACCAGCCTCCCTTCCTCATAGTCGTTTTGAACTTGAGACCTTTTCATCCTTAGGCACCTTCTGCCTCAGCTGTTGTCTTTCTCTCCTGGGTTAAAGCCTTCTCATCCTTCAGATCTAGACTCTTTCTTCCTCAAAAATAACTTCTTTGAGCTCCCAAAAGTCATCAGTTATATTCAGGGGTAGCTCAATCATCTCCCCAATCATAGCTCTGAAATTACTGTGTAATTAGCCCCATGTCTCTTCCCCACACTAGCATGTAAATTGTATTAATCTATTTTCTTAATCTAGACATCCACCTTGCTCAATACTTTCTCTCAATGCCTAGTGTTGTTTTAACACAAAGCAGGTACTTAGTAGATATTTGTTAACTGAAAAATAGTGGGTACACAGCTAAGTTTTAAAGTGAATTTACCTTTGCATAGCATCTCCTTTGATTTTTTTTTTTTTCACCTAAACTAAATCTGTATCCAATGAAATCTGGCTCCAAGCAGCCAGTTTCCCAGAGGTTGTGATCCACAGTGTTAGCAACTAACTTCCCATCTCCATCTATGTAACACTTCAGTTATGATTATCTCCTGCAGAGGCTCAGCATATAATTTAGAAGTTCGCACGTGGCTGTCTTTGCTTAGAATGCTCCAATTCTTGCAGGAAAGAACAAATCTTAGCAATATCATTACCATGCCTCTCAACTGCCTGGAACAAATGGTTTGATCTATGTCTCATATTGACTTCCTTACTTTGTCTTGGACTTGAATCAGAAATTAACTGTTCAATGAGATCCTCCCTGGACACTACATCCACAACCACAGTTCCCTCCCCATCCCCTTACAGCTTGTTCTCCTTAGGACTTCCCGGTGAAGCACATTTTATTTCCCTTGTTTGGTGACTCCATCGACCAGAATGAAGATCTACAAGGGTAAGACCTGTTTCACCTGCTTATCCCTGGCATAACGCACAACAGCTCTCAAATATTAGTGGAATGCCTGGACAACCTGATGGTGCTGGAGGTCAGAAGCAAATACAGATATGCAAAAACACAGGGGTAGAGTCTATATTTTAGTTTCCCTTCTTTGCTCCAGCTTCACTCTCTAAGACTGACAAGAGGAACTCCGATTCCAGTTCTGCTGGCTAGGATGAGGCCTGACTTGTAATAAAGACTTTGTGCAACTGAATGAACAAGTATCTATTAGGTTCCGGTCTAAGTATAGACACACACACACACTCACGCATGCACGCACGCATGCATGCACACTCAGAGAGAGGAGAGAGGGAGATAACACAGTAACCACAGATGGCACAGCTCTGATATCCTGTCTCTTGACTTCAACACGGTGACTCTAGTCCTGTCGTCATCATCTCTGCATTCTACCTTCAAGGGAAAGGGGCACAAACTTTCCTCTTCCAGACATAATTCGGAAGAGGCACATACCATTTCTATTTATATTCAAAGTTCAAATTTAGTCACATGACCTTGCCTAGCTGAAAGGGAGGCTGGGCAAGGGAAACATCGGTGTTACAGAAAGGAACTAGGGAGGTGAAAACCTCTACCAGTTTATTAAGCAGACAATGAAGGGCTGTTTCATAGAAGCACCTTCTTTGCCATCTTCTACATCATCTGTCTGTGCTGGCATTTATCTACATTCATTGGCATTGCTCAGTTGGCCTAATCAAATCTAAGTTAAAGAAAACCCCATTTCACAGAGTTTGTGTAAAGGTAATCAGGGAGCTGAAGAGATGGCTCAGTGCTTAAGAGCACTGACTGCTCTTGCAGGGGACCAGGGTTCAATTCCCAGCACCCACATGGCAGCTACAAACCAACCTTAACTCCAGTTAAGGGGACTCTGAAGCCCTCTTCTGACCTCTGTGGCATTGCACGACACAGGTGAACTCACACAGATGCAGGCAATACACTCATACACATAAAATAAAAATAATAAATAAAAAACTGTGCTGGGAGTGGTGGTGCACACCTTTAATCC